CCCCCGCAACACATCTTGACATTTCCTTCCCCCCAATGTCTGGAAAGAAGCCTAGTAAGGGTGGCTTTTTAAAATGGGGAAGCAGAGAAATGGCAAAGAACTCAAGAAAGGAAGGAGGCATACATTTAAAGCAGCTATACCACTTTAAGAGTCATGACAGTCCCCAAAGAATCCTGGGAACTGTAGTTTGTAAAGGGTGATAAATTCCCCTCACAAAACTACAATTCCCAGAATGCTATGGGACAAAGGATTGATGGTTATACTACTCTGAGAATTGTACCTCTGTGAGGGGAATAAAGGTCTCCTAACTACTCTGATGACCCTTAACAAACTACAGTTCCCAGGATTCTCTGGGGTAACCATAACTCATTTCTTCTTCTTCTTCTTTGGTGATCACTTGTAGCCGAGTAAGATTGTCTTCCATAAACACGGTTTTAACAATGAGTCCGTAAGTGACTGTGGAGGCCAATTCTGGAACTGCATGTCCTTCCACAGTGGGGACATTGGTTTCTGGGTGGGAGTTGATCACGGTGTGGATTTGTCAAGCGTGCCTTCCTCTTAGCACGTTTCTCCCTTGCGTCCTGAGTTCGAGTGTAGCTTTAAATGCAAGATGCAGGTTGGACCAACATAATATAGACATGCCCTGTGTCTTGGCAACCAGGTTAGGACTAAGGAGGATAGGCACTGCATTTCCTAGCTTGCCCACAAAGAGCTACATAGTTTGACACTACACACACACACACAGCCTCGAGCAAAATTATTCAAGCACTTTGCCATATAAAAGGAGGATCGTAACTCCAGCTTGTCAGTTTACTGTTCAGGGTAAGGAATATCTCAATATTACACAGTTTTTACATCAACTTGGTTGAGGCCTCAAGGTGCTTATGTCATAGAGCAATAAATAATAATTAAGGAGACAGCGAGGCAGCAGTTTTAAACTTGCCTGATTGCATGTCAAACGAAGTTACTAAAACTTAAAAAAAACACACCCTAGAATGAAATACACACTTTCAAGTTAGATCTGTAGCATCAAAACAGCAAAGCGCAGGATGGGGTGGGGTGGGGGGGTTAATAATACGTCGTTCAAGGGGTCTGGCGGGGGGTGGGGGCAGTGAGCCAAGGCACCAGCAAAGAGCCACAAGCTGTTGAATGAGCCTTGCTTCATCCCCCTTGGGCGCATTAATAAGCTCCTCTGCCATGTTAAGCATACTTAGTGTGCTCCACCTGTCGTTCTGATCAAAGTTGGAGGTCGGCTTCAATGCAAGAGTGTCAGATGGGCCAGTTGTGAAGCTAATTGTGGGAACAGAGAACGCAAAACCCAAAGCTCCCCACCTCCTTGTGTGCCTGAGGCAGCCTTGGAACACCAGTTAACGTCTTCACTAGCAAGTTGCAGCTGCTTTTCACTGCAACTCCAAAGTGGGAGAGGAGACTGGGAACAGAGGCAGGGTGAAGACTCGCACCCAACCATCCTGCCCACGGACACAGGACTCAAATCAAGGTGCCTAGCTTTGAAGACCAGCCACGTTAGTTTGGTACCTGAGGCGGAAAATCCCACAAGCGGTATAAACAGGGCCGGTTCTACCATTAGGCAAAGTGAAGTGACCACCTCAGGCAGCAGATGTTGGGGGACAGCAGCAGCCCCCCCTTTGTTAATGAGCTCCGAGCCATCTTGCTCTGCTGTCACATCACCTGTCCTGGGTCCTCTAATCTGACTGCTGTTTCAGGTGTGGTAAAGGATACTATCCTGTCATCAGCAGTGAAGTAAAATTCAGCAGCCAACTCAGTCTGCTGCTCTACAATGGAACAGGGAGTGGGCAGCCACTTATTTTATTTAAATTTATATACCGCCCTTCATCAGAAGGCTTCAGGGCGGTTCACTTGTCATTCACCATAGGTAGTAAAATGTCTCTGGACAGCTCTGTGTAAAAAGACAGCTGCCACAAAATAAATGAATAAAGAGCAATTTGGTTTCCCTTCCTGACACCCGTCAACTGCCTGGAGGTGGCTGCCTCTCACTACCTAATGACAGAACCGGCCCACAAGATCTCATTCCTGAAGCAGGCTGGGAAACTATGGGGGTTTTTTGAGAGAGAGGCTATTTGCAAAATAGCCACCTGGATCTAGTGTTACCAGGTTCAGTGGTGAACCCGTGTCTGAGATCCTTCATGGATGAGCCAAACAGAAAATGGCAAGGAGAGCTTCTCAGGTCAGAAACTTGTAGTGGAGGGAAAAGTTGCGTGTGTGGGGATTATGTCTTATATAGCTAATAAAGCCGCAGGTGCCTGGTTGCCCGTGAACAAAAATCTCAATACTATTTATAGTTCCAGAGCAGTCCATGAAAATTGACAAACAGGGTGGGGTGGGGACAAAAATGGATACTTCTTGGGGTTCTAAAAAATAATGTGAGGGAACCATCCTCCTCAGAGGAAAACTGTTTTTGTTTCTTAATTAAGCTTTGGAAAGTCAAGCCCTACCCAGCCACACAGAATCCTACACAGAGGTGTGAGGCAGATGGACATGGTGTGAGGAAAACAGCCTCGTGGGCCAGATCAGGACCCTGTGCCAGCACACATTGGGGCCACAGGCCAGACACTCCCTACCCCTGTGCCAGAGTAACAGCCAATCAGTGCTTATTTTCAAAGATTAAAAGTGCTGGGGTTCTAAACACGCCATCCTGAAGTCTCACTTCTGACTCCTTAAGCTCTTAGCTCCCTCCGCACATGTCAGGAGAGCAGCTCACAAAGATGGCTTACAATCTAAAAGGCAGAACACAACAGGGATTGGTTGGGAGAAGGGGGGAAAAGCAAAAAAACCTCAGGGGCCAGTTTTTTGTTTCTAAGTTCTCATACCATCCAGCTAGAATGGAAACCATTGACGTTACCTAACTGCACTACTGCATCCATAACAGAATAAATCACATGAGAAACCAAGTTACCAAAGGTGTATTTAAGTGCACAACTATTTGCTCTTTCTCCTTGTTCCCAAATCTCTGATCTTGAGAACGAAACCTCTTGCCCACAGCAAAGTCCTGCTCTGTGACCTCACTTGATTGTTACCTGTTGCTGTGGCGACTGTGTCCTAAACATGGAAGGCAGAAACTGAAAAGCTGGTTGGCGGAGAACGCAGGCAGTTCAGCAAGAGCAGAGACCACCACCTACTGGTCCATTCAATTATCACTTGAGTGGCTGCTTTCAAGGACATTTCCTATATGCAAGGCAATCAGTCACATTTGAGTTCCCTGAGCTATTTTATATTGAAGCTTGGTCACTGTGGAAAACAGGAGATGCATTGATGAAGGCATTGGCATACATACCCCTTAATGCTTTTTCTTGCTGCTGTTTTGCCACTGTAATGCGCTGTACTAGATGCTAAAGTCGTTCATTTTTAATTAAAACTTCCTGCCATGCCCCACCTGAATATTTGGGACCACTGGTGGTCCACAGACCATACCTTTGGGCAACACTGGTCTGTAGCAAACCTGATTCAAATGAGATCCAGTTTAGGACTCAAATGAGAAACATCCTTTATGTTCTTACACATTCCCACATTCCTGGGAGAATGCCCATAAGCCATGCATTACAGGAACTAATAGGTAAATATAAATAGTAATACTTTCCTAAAAATGCAGGTTCCACTATTATTATATTATTATTGAATTCAATAGCATTTTGTCTTGGCTTTCTTTGAAGGCTGCAGTCAGAGGTTTTGTCAAGTGGATTTCTAAATGTCTCTTGGATGCTATTCAGGTGGCAGCGCAGACCAAACCTGGAGAGAAATACTGGAATCTGAGCTTGTCCATCACCTCACACCTCCTGCACCAAGCCTCATCTTCAATTATAATCTCACTCAAATCCTGTGGTTCAAGTGAACTGCAGACTCTGGAAACACAGACTAGGGAACAAGGAATGGTACAGGTGCAAGGCTTTTATGTATTCAAAGCAGCGAAGAAACATGAACCAGGCTATTTCTGTTTGTGACCCTCCCTGTACATCTGGGTTAGAAATGCAGGTAGGTTCTCCTTCAAGAGTCCTGTGTATTAAGGAGCTAGAGTTGCTTAGCACAGGTGTGGGGAACATCGGGCATACAGGTCAGTCTTATCCAGGGGATCATCCATAGGGCCAAGGAGGTTGGGTACTGAATCCTGCCAATAAGTGCTGGCAAAGCAACCCTATGCAGCTGGTAGCATTGCACTCTCCGCTCATCACCTGGAAATGGGAAGATTCAATCCTGCTGGGTGCTGCTTTGCTGGTGAAGGAGACCCCTCCCTACTGCATGTTAGATGATGTAGGTGGGGCCACCAACATTGCATAAGGAAAATGTCACCCAATACTTCACAGCAGTGATGTTCCCAAAATTAGTGCACCATCATGCAGACAAAGCATTTTGGTTTAAACCAGATTCCTTTATGTTGTATACCTATTCAACCGAAATTTCCTTCCAAGCAACCTTGGAACAGAGTGTACTGGACAACCTACCTTGCCTCATTTTGGAGCAGTCCTAGTGTGTGGCATTACTAAAGGAATGTACCAGTCCTGACAGGAAAGATTTGTGGTTGCCGTAAAGCGGAACATTGTATTATGAGAAAAGTGGGGGTGGGGTTTGCATATAAAAGGTGCCCGGTTCAACCAAGGGTATTTCCAGGCAGAATGGAGAAGGCCTTGTGAAACCTTGCTTGTCCATGCAGGCAATACTGCCTTAACACAAAGGTCTGACTTGGTCTAAAGGTAGCTTCTTATGTTCCTATCTTATTTCAAACTAAATTTTCATTTAAATTCATTATTTGAAACCAACTGTTTCTAGGAGCGGATGCTTTTACACTCGATTCTGTGTAAAGTTTGCTGCCCATACATCAGCAAGTCTACTGAAATGAGGGTGAATCCGCCACATAGCATCCTGTCTTGAAGAGCAATGCTATATAACATTTTAAAATCCAAGCAATTATCATAGCCCACCTAAAGACCAATTACATTTCTATCATTCATAAAACATGAAGCAGACAGTGTATTTGATATTTGTAGTTTTATTATAAGACTACAAGCCAGAACAGCATTCCAGAAATTAAGCGGTCTCTTCTTTGGCAATGCGATCTTTCTTGAGTGGTCCCTGCAAAGAAAATAGAAATGTGTCAGTCTAAACAACAGGAGATCCATAATCTCAAGACACATCCCAAACCATTTAACATTAATTAACAGGTGGATTTTTTAAAAAAAGAGACAGAAGCCAATAGACTATGGAACACAACACAATTGTTAAAAGTCTGCTGCCACCAACTGGCCACAGCATATAGCAGTTCACTAGTGGACTACTGGTTACATTCCTGAGGGACCACTTAATGCTTGCTGGTTCTGGAGATTCCCAAAAATGCTAGACAAAGTGTGGTCAGCAAGATTCTTATGTGAGCAACTACTGTTGTGCCTTAACTGCAAATTTGGAGTAGGTAAATGCACACAAAGGTCCCCCAATTGTATTTGAATGTACTAGGGCTGAACTGAGACTATGCCAATACCATTTAATCTATTTACACATGCAAGAGCTGATCCTAATCCTGAACCATTAGTAAGTCTTTTCACACACCTTCAAACAAATTTCTGTGTTGCCCACTGTTCAATTACATAGGCATTAAAAGATCAATTCAAAACACCATTTTCTTAAAAGCAGATGCAGCAAGTAGCTTATATACTGGATACTAGAAAGGAAGTGCTCTTACCATGAAAACCTTCTTCTCCTCAGCTGTCTGGAAGCGGCCATGACCAAATTTGGAAGTGGTGTCAATAAATTTCAAGTCAATCTTCTCCAGGGCCCGACGCTTGGTCTGCACAAGCAAGGACTAGGGGGGAAAGGACATAGAGTAAGGCCGACTGGCAGGCAACTGCAAAATCTCAAATGGAAAGGGTTAAGCGATGGAAAGCCAGTAATTCAGAAACATTTTTCTACAGCTCTTCAAGCTTCACTACTACATTGTACTGCAAATTCTAACGCCCCCCACCCGCCTGGTATGTGGCTTGAAGAACAATATTAACTTTAGATCTCAGGCCTGCATTCAACCACTGTGCATAATGTGCCATTTAAGAAGAATTTAGGCCTGATTTGCCAATACATGATTATGGCCTAACTATATAGACAGAGGTCAGCAGCCAACAACCTGAGGATTGTCCCTGCTGGAAAGCCTGGTTGCTGTATGCTGTTCTAAGAATGTAAAGAGGCCCATGAGCAATAAAAGCCCTCACACACTTCTTGGAGAAGCTGATCTATTGGAAGCAGTGTGCATGCCCCCATTTGCTGTTTTTAGTGTCACAATCTGGTACAGAAAATGCTAGCCTTCTAGCACCCTGACATTATTGGAGAGCTTACAATATTCAAACAGACAGCTATACCACCTCATCTAGCAAAGGAAACTTCAAAGAGATCAGTCACCACCCTTCCACTGCTCACCTTGCGCAGAGTGAGAACTCTCTTCTTGGTCCCAACAACACAGCCTTTCAACATGATAAAATCATTGGTCACTTCACCATAATGGACAAATCCGCCCTGTGTGAGAAGAGCAAATAAATGTGTATGGCAATTATTTAGTACTACATACCACCAATATTCTGAATTCTGCAGTTTCCTCTCAACCCCCAATGGGATTCAGAGGCCAGAGATTTTAATGTCCAGCCAAAGCAGAAGGCAGAACTCATGGCAAACTATCACTGAAGGGGTAAAAGGTGGGGGAGATGGTTTATGTTGAAGTGAATGGCACCTTTAGGAACTGTTAAGAGGACAACTTAAAACTAAGAGCACTGAAGGTTACTCTATGCCTCCAAAATGCAACAGTGGCAAATCTTTGAGGAACACACAGGCTTCCACTCAATGATGTTCTACCCAGACCCCCACATTTAAATTTGAAAGCCACTCACCAGAGGATTAATACTCTTGTCAGACTGATCATACTCTGTTGAAGCATTGTTTTTGATCAGCTTGCCATCCTTGATTGTGTATCCTTGGCCAATCTTGTAGATCTATGTGAAAAACAAAAAAGGGGAGAAAGAAATGAATACTTTTCAACAATGAAACACACACAAAAAAAAATAACACCAGAGTTTATGAATCTGGTGACACCTGGCAACTCACAGATCCCTACTATAGAGGTCTAATTTCCCATTATAGGTTTTGAGAAGGCAAGATTCTGAACAGCTGTAGGTTTCCAATGTTTCTTGCCTTAATTAACCCTAAACAAATGTAAAAAGACCTTGTCACTCAAGCATGTCAAGAGTGATTGGTGGTGACCACAAAAATAATAATCCTGGCTCAAAAGCCACACAAAGATTTGTGGCCCACCAATCAGGACAAACCTCTTTAAAAAACCTTTAATTTCCAAGGAAGTTGCAATCTTTGTATTAGCTGGTACACTGGTATCTCCTACACGCTAAGCTTAGGAATGTTTCACTTTGGAAAGTTATATTTATAAGCAAGTTGTACCATTACAATGCTTGTAATCAACTGCAGTGACTATCTTTAGAACTTGCAATGACTCATAACCATTTTAAGAATGCACTCACATATTTACAGTTGAGGGGGAGGTAGAGATTGGCCAGCAAGTGACATTACTGGTATGGAACTATATTGTCCCAACTGCTCAACTAGGACAAGATTTCCATATAGAATTTTAGCAGAATGGGTTGCTCTTTAGTGAAATGCTGCATTCTTATACAACCTGCAGTGCTGTAGGGCAAGTGGTAAGTGAAGCGGACACTGTTGTAGAAGAGCTTGGCACAGAACTTTTTCAGTCATGGGCTCAAATCCAGCTAAGTAAACCAACCTCTAATAACACCACAATCTCTTTCTACCCACCTGCCGTTCTGCAGTAACATTTTATGAACACAGAACACATTCAAGCTTCAGCTGGAATGGATTGTTGTTAATATTATTATTATTATTATTATTATTATTATTATGCAAAGCACATCCATACCTTCTTATTGATTTCTGTGCGGTGATGGTACCCCTTCTGACCAGCTCGAGCCACAGAGAAGGCCACACGAGCAGGATGCCAAGCACCAATACAAGCCACTTTACGCAGACCCCTGTGAGTCTTACGGGGCAGTTTTTTGGTGTGCCATCGGCTGGTAACACCTAAGAGGAAGAGACATGGAACTTGTTAGAACTACTTAGCTCCAACATCTAATTGACTGGAGCCTCAACTGTGTGGGAAATCACTGAAATGTCTTCCAGACACGTGAGATTACTATACTAAAATAAAGGGATCTTACAAATGACCACCCTGAAGTGACCAAACCCTCTCCTCCCATTTCTTGCAAAGCTGGTCTCAGAAGGAAGGCAGCATGGAATGACTCCTCATGGGTATCGGGCACTGCGCCCAGTGCATATTCCATGATCTCATCACTGAACAGCCTCTTGCAAACCAAGAATATTTTGCCAACCCTCTTTACGCCAAAGCCAAATAAACTACATAGGATGTTAAGGACACTCTTAGTAGTTTAATCTTTGACATATTGTTGACTGGGAAATAAATTACCTTTGTACCCCTTGCCCTTTGTGACGCCAATGACATCAATCATTTCATCCTGGCCAAAGACAGTCGACACGGGCACTTGCTGCTCCAGCTTCACTCGAGCCCAATCCACCTTCTCAGCTACAGTGCCACCATTCACCTGGATTTCCATCAAGTGAGACTTCTTTTGCCGAAGTGGAAGCATTCGCATCTGAGATACCAAATAAAGAGTTAATGCATTGGTTGTGGCAAAATGCCTAATCATGTTTACATTTTTTCAGTATCAATTATTATTTCTAGCTCAATCAATCCAAAGTGAAGGATAATTTAATGCTTTTACAAAAAATTATGTTTGCAACATTAAACAATGACATAAATTTCATCCAATGCCATCATTCTCCTTGAGGGTCTTCTGAGCCAAACAATGCATTTTAAAGGCTGTATCAAAGGACCCCACATTTCTTTTCTGATGCATTCATCAACAGCTCATTGCATATTTTAGAATCAAGACCCTTCACAAGTTAAACAAGAGCCTTTAGACAAATTATTGTGAAATAGCCAAATTATAAAACCTTTGAAGAAATAAACTATATTGTGGGGCAGCAAGGTTTGACTGAACTGACAAAATCCTGTATCCTTCCAGTACTTGCCACTTTCTGGTTTTCAATATTCCATTAAAAGGATTCTGAATGGCTTATAAAGCATCGTCCAATTTTACAGTCACAAAGCTGTATTTTAAAAGGGCTAAGTCAAAGGGTTGAAAGATAGGAAGTGCATCATGGCACAATAGCTTCTAGGTAAATATTACATCAAATACCAGATGCAATGAGGCCCCATTTACTTCACAAGACTTTAAAAGCACTACCAGCCAACTGTTTAATCTGCTATTAGCAGATCTTTGGCCATTGACATTAAACTATCTGTGAATTCATATGTGCTTCAGGAAATAGGCAATGCAAGAGCTCACCTGAGTGTGAGCTATGACCCTGATAACCTGGCAGTACTTCTTCATGCTGTTGAAGTCCTTCTCCAGTTGTTTCTTGCCTTCTTCATCCTGCCACTTCTTGCAGTACTTGGTAAAGGCCTTCTTCTTGGACTTATGCCTTCAAGGAGGAGCAGAGCAGAGATGGGGATTGGCAGAGCCCTTCATCAGCCCACCCAGAGAGGTGGTTGAGTGGAAGAAGCTGCCACAGGAATCAGTTTTGGCTCATTGCTGGCTTCTAAGGAGCCTTTTCCACCAGCAAGCGGAGCCTGGAGCTCATCAAGCAAGGGCAAGACTGCCAGAGCTGAGCGGAGCTGCCATAATTTCATACAAAGAACATTAATATGCACTGCACAGAACAGTAATTAAGAAAATGTATTCTGCCTTAGAAGCTCCATTTCTACTTCATAGGGTTAACTTCACTTTACTCACTTATAGCTTTCCAATCTTGCCTTTTAACACCATAATGCCACTGTTACCTTCCTAACATAAACAACCGCAAATCTTAAAGGGCAACTTTTACATTTGCATACCTCAAGTTCAGATATTCAGGAAGGTTACCGGTTATAGTACCCTGATTAACATGAACATGCCACACTGTAAGGGGGAGAAATCCTTCCCAAGATCCATGTTAAGACTATACCAGGAGGCAACTCAACTAGAAATTTGTTGCCACCAGGAAAGAAGTCATACTACACTCTCCTAAGATAGCAAACTACAGTCAGTGCTCGACAATCAGCAACAAGCACCAAAGGTGATTTTTTAATGTCCGCCCGTCGAGAAATCATCATCTGTAGTGTTCACATACCCAAGAGGGTATCATAAAACTGTACCTCCTTAGTGCAATATAAACTGAGTTGCTGCCAACTCAGTTCTACATAGTTCTACAAGAGAGCAATATAATTGGGGCTAACTATTCCTGCATCTTCCTAACTCAGGGAACTTTAGAATCTCAGCCACAATTACCAGTTCTTGTAGAACCGACGCTTGCACTCATCGCTGATATGCTCGGCAAAGATGGTCTTGAAGGTGCGAAGGCCACGGGGAGTTTCAACATAGCCGACAATCCCCACAATCACCATGGGAGGGGTTTCCACCACAGTAACTGCCTCAACAACTTCTTTCTTGTTGACCTCTATGAAACAGATAACAGAACAGATGAGCGCTAAAAGATAGCAATGAGCCTAGTTTATATAACTGAGGGAAATTAAAACATCATCCAAAAGCAACCTAATCCTTCTGTTGTCAGGTTAAAGGCTAACATGGGGCATATGTGCTGTCCTGAAAAGCTAAAGGAGTGCATAAGGTGAGGAATAGGTGCAGCAACAATTCTTTTGCCTGGTCTTTTCAAACACAAATAAGCAACAACCCTGGTGATCAGAACAATCCACTTCTTTCTTCTGCCTACTAGGAATGATAGAGCACATGGACTGGTAGTGTAGAACAGCAAGTCCCGGCTCATACATACTCCATCTTGGCTATGAAGCAAGTAAACTCAGGCAAGCTGCTGCCTTCCAGCCTCACACCTTCATCTAAAATAACAAAGCTAATAATGTCACATTGTAGTAGTATTGAAAATTATGTGAAGTGTCCTAAAGTACAGTGGTACCTCGGGTTAAGTACTTAATTCGTTCCGGAGGTCCGTTCTTAACCTGAAACTGTTCTTAACCTGAAGCACCACCTTAGCTAAGCTTATGTAACCTGAAGCGTATGTAACCCGAGGTACCACTGTATATCAATGCCAAGTATCAATTTAACTTCCCTCCCAAGAGAAGAAATACATACTGGAGCCAGGTCTGTCAACTTCACGGACAATGTGGGTCATGCCAGCTTTGTATCCAAGAAATGCAGTGAGGTGGATGGGCTTGCTGGGGTCATCTTTAGGAAAGCTCTTCACCTTGCCTCTGTGCCGACGGCTACGCTTGCGAGGCAGAAAGCCCAAAGACCCATGCCTGGGAGCTGAAAACTTGCGGTGGGACTAGAAGGGAGGCAAAGACATTTTGCTTAGTAGGAGACAGCTTTGCAAGTCCTCAACCTCAGGGTTCTTAGGAAGGCAAGGAAATGCTCTAAACACCCTGGGAGAGAAACTTCCCTTGCCCATAATAAATCCCTTGGGAGCAACACTAAAGTGTGCTTCTGTTGTGTACAGTAATGCAGTGCATGCCAAACAACGTGCCTAGCCTGTTTTCCTTGCAAGGTTGGCAATACTACATCTCACACAGGTACACAAGGATCACAATGTTGCATTAAATAACTAACCCACCCTATGAGAGATTTCTATAAAAATACAGTCAAGATGGCCCTTTTATAGTTAACTCTTCAACCATAACCGGAGATAATGGAGGCTTTTTGTTTTTAAGACAACAGCATAAAGCATTTACGAAGTACAGTACAACTTGTCCCTCAAATAAAATAAAAGATTATACTATAAAAAGAAACTATCGCCCCCAGCCCCAGCCAAAGATCAGGGATAGAAGCAGCTGGAGCCAGCAACATCCGGACAGCCACACGCCCTCCCATTCCTGCATTAAGAGCCATGACAGACCACGCTCCTTGGTGGAACTGTTCTAGTCAACCACATGCAATTATCTGTAATTAATATGTTCAAGGCGTTTTAGCAAGGGCGATGCTACCAATGCACTCCGGAATAACAATACGAATCTTATGCACGTCTACTCAGAAGTAAGTCCCAATGGGGCCTTCCGCCTAAGTATGGAATTGCTGCCTACGTAGCTATAACAAGTTTCAGCAATTTCAAGACACCCTTTCTTTAGATGAGGTAAGAGATGACGGCAGGCAACCTCACGTTAGGCCAACTCAGCAGCTATCGGGAATGAGAATAGGCCCAGGACCCCGTTAAGGAGTGAGGCGTATGTAGCACCCAAATTATTCTCGGTATGCCTTCAACAAAGACCCTAAAACGAGATAGACCGGGATTGAGCACGGCAGGAATCACCACTGACCCGATGGCAGCGGATTGCATGTTTCCCGCAAAGCCCAACTACCACCTACCATTTTGTCTCCGAGCCGATGTAGAAGGGAAGTAGAAAGGCGCGCGTGCGCTATTTATCCCCTTCGCTTCCTAGGCGTGCGCAGACGCATCCAGTCGATACGCGTGCGCATGCGTTTCCAAATCGGTCCCACGTGCACTGTAATCATCTATGCGAAATATCGCGAGGAGACAAAAGGAAACGATAACTTCTTCTTTTTTTTTAAGTAAAGGCTACGGATGCCGGGAGGGTTCTGCATTCCTCCGGAGATGCGATTTCGCGTGAAGGACTGCTTTTCGAGAGGTCCCTCATTAAACTCGTGCATGCGTACGAGGAAGCAAATGCCATCCTTTTAATGGGGGGTCAGGGAGGGGTGTCTCTATCTAGTCATAATACTGGAGGTCGGAAAATTGGGCCCTAAATTTGTCTATGAAAGGACAGGATTATCAACGACGCGGGAGTCCAGCATAAACCTATATTCCGCCCCCCCCCAACAGCAGTAGGATGTACAAAGCAGAAAAGATGGTGTTAGTTTGGAGGCATCTGTTAAAGTTTGGTAATGGCTGAATATGCAAGCTTTCGGGTTCCATAGATCTCTTCAGCAGCCCCTCTTCCAAGTCGGAAGAGGTTTTTCTCAGAACCGCTTTGTGGTTTTGTTTGTTTATTTACAGTCATGTGATATACACATTTTATTAGGTATAATAAAGAGGAAGGAGGAGACTGAGGAAGAAAATTACAGTATTCCTTACAGAAAATCCCTTCTGCTTCCCTGCACTGCTGTCACTGATGCTCAGGCAGCTCTGTGCTTCTACTGACCCACAGAAATTGTACTGAGTATGGCCCATCTCTTTCCAGCATCCCCAACACCCAAGCACACTCCAGCTTCTTATCTGTGAACTTAGAATCATAGAGTTGGAATAGACCACAAGGGCCATCGAGTCCAACCCCCTGCCAAGCAGGAAACACCATCAGAGCACTCCTGACATATGGTCAGGACTTCCCCCCACTATGGGGTTGTAGCCTGAATCCTGCCCATTAGAGGGGTTTTTTAAAGCTCATGGTTTGGAAAGGCTGGAGCTCAAGGTAGCAATCCCACCCCAGCATAACCACACTTAGCCCTCTTTCTGATGCAATCTACTGTGGTGTCATCATCACCCAGTTACATAAGGGGAGTCCAAAAACAGATGGCTCAAGTCAGAAGAGGCAAGGCAAAGCAAGGCAAGACATTTGTGCTGGGATGAGCATGGCCTTGCTTCTAAGGGGTCAACATTAACAAAATGGCAGGTGAGAAGCGGCTTTCCATTTACCAGCCAATTGGGAAGCAAACTGTGATGTACATGGCGCAGCTGACTTTGAGGCTGCTGCCCCAAACCCAGCTCATGCTACTCTTCTACTTTATGCATTACCTATTGGTGAAAGTCTACATGCCGCTATTGCGCCCCTTGGCCACCATAGTCAAGCTAGTCTTCTGTTGGGTCACTGTGCAAGTGACTGGGATCTTCATCTTGTGGCACTGCAGCCTAAAGATGTTACGTGCCATGCATTTAATTCTCATCAGGAAGCTCTGGAAGGAAGTGCTAGTCCCAGCACTTAAAATCCTATGGCATTCTCGGGCAGCTGCAAGGTACTTGTGTTTTTATTTGGCTGGTGTCTTGCAATGGTGTGCTGCCAAATGGGCTCTGGAATTGCTAGGGTTCCTGAAACAAAGAAGTCTGCCAGCTATTTTATCTACAAGGCACCAGCTGCACCACTCCATGAGTCCCTTCCTCCAAGAAAACTATGAAACCTACCAGACAGTGTTGCGACCAGTCATGAAGCAAATTATTTTCTCGCTCTTCCTGGGATTGCTTGATGGAGTTCAGGAAGCTTTACAGCTGACAGCAAAAGTAACAAAATGTGCACTGACCCTGCTTTTTAACTTGGTCAGACCCACACTGAGTTCAGCCTGCAAAGCGAAGATCTTAGACCACATCACCAGTACACTCCCACATCCCTGCATGTCTTTGTGCTCCCGTTTTGGGGGCCCTTCGTTTTCCATCTTAAAGGACATACCACAGACTTTTGCTACACTAAAGTTTGTTGTGGCCACTGAACACATAACCAGTGGGCCAGGCAAGTATGGTTTAGATGGCACCAATATTCCTCTGCATGTGAGATTCCAGACCAACATCAGAATGAGGAATGCTTTTGCTATGCAAGAAACAAGTGCAACTTTGAAGCAGGTGAAGGTAGTCTGTGTGCTCTTCATTGCAGTCTATCTTTCCGTGTTCTACAGTGTTGTTAAGGCCATCATATAAATGGATAGATTAGACAACCTCTTTTATGTACAGTTGTTTTAAATGGTGAAATGTCCTTTCTGTAGCAACTGCACTCGGATCTTATCCTGGTCACTGTGATGATATGCAATAATCCAAAGCTAATTTTGGGATACAGGGGCATATAAATTTCAATTCCATATTTATGTTGCTCATGCAGCTCTGTACCAAATAAGGAAATGTGAACTAGTAAGTGCCTAGGAATCCCAAGAAGAAAATGTGCTTCTGAAAGTCAAGCCTCTTGAGAGTTGTAGTTCATATCCTGACTCTGATGACAAATTATGATAATGGTGGTAATAAAAGTGTGGCTAAATGCTTAATGGTGAATCGTTATGGCAATTTGCACACATTTTCTGGTCTTGGAAATGTGAAATGCAGTCTGGGAAATTAGATAGATGGGTCTAAGAAGGTAGTACAGTACTCTTTTGAGAAGTTGCATACTCTGAAGCAACAATTATTATGACAGCACAATCGTTCTTGAAAGCAGGGAGAACTCAGGTGACAGCCTTAAGCTTGGGAGTCAGAGGATTGCACTGTCAAAATACACAAAAATATGCAAGACTACCTTTCATCATATCTAACTTTTTGTCCATGATCTGGCCTGGTGTTGTTTACTCTGCCCGGAAGTAATTCTCCAGGGTCTGGGCCAAAGGTTTTTCACATCACCCTGCTACCCAATTTTTTGCTTTCTTAAACAAACACCCAGAAATGCCAGGAATTCAGCCTAGGACTGAAATCACTTCAATATATTTTATGGGAAGTGACTCATAAGTGGAGTTAAATAAAGAAATAGTCTGAATCACCCAGATGTCTCAGGGTCTGTAATGTTTGAAACCACTCCAAAACACTCTTTGCTGGGCTTAAGAGGAGGGCAGAAGGTTAATCACTAGTAGATCGTCAAGGGTTTCTGACTCCCAATGGTTTGACAATATTGACCCTCCAGAAGCCCCTTTCCCATGCTAAATGAGGCTGCTGAACAAAGTTTTCACAAATGCTGTGACCAAGCAGTAACATTTCCTATTCATTTGTATGCAGCTAGGGAGAATATTACTATATTTCTATGCTGCCCTTCCTTCAAGGAGCTCAGGGTGACTGACATACATGGTGTCCCCCATCCCTCTTTATCTTCACAAGAACCCTATGATGGAGGTTAGAGTGACTGGCTCAAGGTCACCCACTCATAGATGAATGGGGTTTTAAATTGGGCCCAACACTCTTCATATTTACACCACACTGCCTCTATTGAATGTTAGACGACCACAGTGGGTGCTTCCTCCACAAATAGTCAAGGCTACCTGAAGAGAGAAGAGTTGGGGTAGCTTAGCTAGATGTTTGAGAGGGAGAGAAAAATAAGTTCTGGTATAATTTGGTCCAGTTCTCTGGGGGAATCGGAGTGGGTTCAGGTGGGGATGTCAAAACCCGGATCCCTATCCAAGTTTTTGAGGCACTGACAGTATGACTTCATTATTATAAATATTTCATTTTTCTCTCCTGAGTATGATCTAACATTCTGTAAGAGGCTTTGCACAATGTGATGCCAAATCTGACTCCATCCTAGGCACGTTACTGTCATGTGCTTCTGTAAATATTATCAACTGGAGGTGGAGAGAGCAAAAGAGGAAATGAAAAAAAGCATGGAGAGGAACAGGGCTGCAGGAGTCAAGACAACAGGGTTATCATCTTTACACATAAAATATACACAACAGTGTAACATTATCTTCCTCATCCTGTTTGGTAGTGAACAAAAACAGATGTGATAGAAATCAGCAATATCGCTGTCTGTTGTTGGAGGTAATTGTGTTGACTAATTTAAACCAGATTTTTTGGGGGGATAAGGTGCTATGTATAATGCTGGCTAAGGAGATGAGAACTGCAACCTGAACAGGCATTAAATTGAGAACAAGAGGATGAGTGATGAATTATTAACTCTTCTTTTCACGAATGCAAGGTAATGTTGAATGCAAGGTGTGCTCTCTTAAGCCTGTGCAGATTGACCACTTTGAAACCACTTTTCTAACCAAACTTTTAATTCAATCATCCTACTCTTAGCACACATACAGATTTATATCTTATATTTTGAACCATTTTGTTATCAGTTGTCTCGGATGGCAAAGATTAAGGTTTTTCTTTAAACCAGGCATCCCCAAACTCGGCCCGCCAGATGTTTTCGGACTACAATTCCCATCATCCCTGACCATTGGTCCTAGAAAGGGAGTATTCTAAGTAGCATAGATTAGCCTTTAACCAGAACAATAAAGCATATATTTTACTAACCACAAAAACAGACCTGCCAACTCTTTTGTTTTGGCTGGTCAACACCTGGTTTTAAAACTAATTTCTTTTTTTTTTTTTTTTATAAAATTTTTATTGGTTTTAGAAACTTTTTAAACAAAAAAACAAACAAACACCAAAAATGACAAACACACACGTACAGTTTCAAACACATTTTCATAAACTTCTTTCCTTTGACTTCCCCATACCCCCCCTCTCTGCATGGTTTTAAAACTAATTTCTCCCATTTCAGAAAAGGAGATTGTTGTTTTTCATCTTTTGGGGGAAACTAGCTTCTAATTAAATTTTAAAATTGATCTTCAGTCTTTCCCTGTCTTCTGGTCGGTTTCTTCTGTGAGACGGCTCCCTAAAAGAATGCTGTTGTCCTCTAAGTCTAAAGCAAATTGCCCAAGAGCTGAGCAAATAAGCACGCACTTCAGCATGCTTGCACAATATGAATCATAGTCGCTAACTAAATTCAAAGACTGTGCAAATTGGTTGGCTCTGAAAAATATCTGAATTAAGTTATCATTAGCTGGAC